CCGGTTAGTTATTTTCACTTCCGGTCATTTTTGTCTTGGAGGAGGTGGGGGGAGGGTCAGATGTTTTTGTTTAGGTATTTGTGAAGGGTCATGCATTAATCCATAATCTAAAATACCCCGACCCACCCCCCCCAATAAAAAACGTACCTTCCCTAAACAAAGATCAGTGAATTTTATTCAAAATGACATGAGTTTCATTTTTCTTTCTTTTTTTATTATGTTTTTCTTTTTGGTTTTTTTTTTTGTATTCCTAGCTGAAACCAACTTAGTTTTGTTTTCAAAATTAAATTTTACATATTTTTCTCATAATTATCATAATTATTCGATGTTCCGAGATGTTCCGGAATGTTCCGGGATATTCCATGTTCCTAGTTTTATCAACGGCCAAAAGTGAAGTCAATTTGATAAGTTCAACTTGTAAGCCGATGTGCCCGTACACTGTAGCTCTGGAATTTACGAAGAAGCTGCTCTTCAGCAAAGTAGGAGACATTAAGTGGTGGAAGGAAGCTCTTTAGTGCGTATAATGGCATGCGGACAAACTTCGAGTTCAGGAAGTAGACCGACTGTTAATGTCATGTTTCTCTGCGACGAGTGGAAGTCTTCTAAAGGTGGTCTCTCCACTTTCAACAGAGAATTTGCTGTTAATTTGGCCAAAACTACAAGCGGCAGCATGAACGTTCACTGCTACGTCTCTCAAAGCGATGAACTGAGCAGAGAAGATGCCAGACAACACGGAGTTAAATTAATCACTGCTCAAAATATTCCTGGATCGGCTGATCGACTCGAGTGGTTGAAAATTCCACCGTCGGAGCTACCGAATCCTGACATTGTTGTAGGCCACGGAAGAAAGTTTGGTACCCCTGCCTATTTTATCGTCCAAGCTGCAAAGTGCAAGTGGATGCATTTTGTCCATGTGTACTGTGAAGATCTTGGAAAGTTCAAAGCAACGCAGAGTGCTGCAGTGGATACAATCGAAGAAAATGAGAAGAAACATAAAAGTGAAATTGAGCTGTGCAAAGCAGCAGATATTGTTTTCGCAGTTGGATCACGGTTACAACAGAAGTACGCCAAATGTCTTCCACATGTTAAAGTGGAGATCATTACTCCTGGGATTTTTGAAAAGTTGTTAAATGAGTCATCACAGCTGGTCAAAGACAAATTCGTAAAGAAGAAGTTCAGTGTCTTTATGTTTGGACGGGCTAGCTTTGAAGATCTTACCCTCAAAGGTTATGATATTGTTGCAGATGCCATAGGCTCCCTTGAGAAAATGTTTGAGCTGACATTTGTTGGCTCATCTTCTGGTGAACACAGGAAAATAGAGCAATGGTTTCTTGAACATACAGGCATAAGCCGGAACCAACTAACAATCCGCAGTTATTGCGATGAGCAAGAGGAACTTACTGAGATGATGTTGTATGAGCCAGACATGGTTGCCATTCCTTCGCGCTCTGAAGGGTTTGGGTTGGTTGCCCTGGAAGCAATTTCTGCTGGTATTTCTGTTCTTGTTGCAGGTGAAACTGGAATAGCTGAAGCATTACTTGAAGTAGAAGATGGGAAGTCCGTCATTGTTGAATCAGATGACCCTAAAGAGTGGGCTAGGAGGATCCAACAACTGTCCAGGCAAAGTCCAGAAGAGAGAGAAAACAATGCTAAGCTGCTCAGAGACAACTACGATAAAACTTACTCTTGGAGCAATGAATGTGAGAGATTCAACAGAATGATACAGGGTTTAGTGGACAGCGTACCTGTAAATGGTATGTTTACTAAGCCTCCCTGTTCCACCACAGTTTATTCTACAATCCTGGACAAAATTAGTTGGGACACTTGAGCTAGATCACATATCCTCCATCCCCTCTAAATTATCAATGTTGTCAGAAAATTTGCATTTATTTCCAACAAAAAGGCCAAAAATCTCTTGATTATCAACATTGTAAGTGGGGGGAGGGGAGAACTTGCTTGGTGTCCCAAGTTTTTTGTCCGGGACTGTCTAAAAGAAGAATTTAGAGAATGTCACACCACTCCCAAAAAGAAAGGTTTTAGAAAAGGGGAGTTGTGCCGTCTTGCAGGTACAAGTGCTACTAAAACGAAACAGCATGCAATGACAAGTTTTACCTGGGTAGGCACTAAAGACTGTGAAGTCATCTTTTTAAATGACCGTCTACTTCTTCTTCTGACCTGAAATCGAATTCTAAAGTAGCGTGATGCCATGACAATTGCTGTCGTTACCTTCACTGAAAATTCCTCACATATCTCTTTCAGACAATCCCAGACAAAATTAGTTGGGATGCTTGAGCTGGACCACATATCCCCCATCCCCCCTAATCAATGTTGGGAATTGTCGCATTTTGTCAACAAAAAGGGATAAAATCACCTGATTATCAACATTGTAAGTGGGGAGGGGGGAAAGTATTGTTGATCATTTTCTTCAGTTCTTTTGACATCTCTACGTGATAAAGTACAGTAAATCATTGTTGTATTTAAGTGTCATACATTATGCATTAGATTTGCTACAAAAGCAACAGAATTTGCCTAAAAGTAAATGCTCTTACCAGGATTTCCTCAAAACTTGCACTGTTTCATTCCACATTAAAAAACATTGTGACAGACAGTGTCATTGCACTTCATCAAAATAGAAGTTTGACTTGTGGGAAAAAGCACTGACTACATTGTACATGTACATGTAAATATTATAACCAATACATGATATATAGAGATTTAAAACTAAATGCAGAAATATTTGAAATTTGTCCCAAATATATTTGACAGCTTTGAAATTTAGGATTGATGTGGAAACCATGACACCTGCAGAACACAACACACAGGATAGAACTCCTGTTTCATCAAGAGAATCAGGAGGGTCTCAAAATGGTGGGCACCAGGACACCTCTACAGAACCTGTGCCATTAGGAGATACACAACCAGAAAGGGAAGTTCCCCAAGCACCCAGTCCCATTCCTACAGAACAACAAGTATTGTGTTTGATTGCTGACATGTACCTGAAGGCTGCACCACTGAGCAATAGGGACGATTGTGATAGCTTTTTGGCATACATGAAACAAATGAGAACCACTATAACAGGTGTTGACATGGGAAGTTTGCTGATAACAGTGAAGTGTGATTCACTCGAGATCCTAGAGATACTGTGGGAAGATTATTCATCTGGTCATCTTGGTGAAGTGGTTCAAAGGTGTTTTGTTACAGAAGAGATCTTGACAGAATTGAGCCTTGCAGAGTTGAAGCTTCAAACAACAATCTCAGACGAGGACTATAAAGCATGCAAAATATACTTTAAGAAAGATCCAGCAGGAGGTAAAAGTTTAAAAAAAAATGTTTCAGTAGGATAGTAAAATTACTCAGGAGTGTGCAATGTCAGGAGACGACTCAGGCTCCTCTGACTAGCAAGATAAAAAAAAACTCAGTCTAAGTACCTAGTTTCTTGGTTCAAATAAAGCAACAATAATAGGCTTTATATCTCAAAATACCACATGTTACATGGACATGTATTTTTATTTTAACAAATGCAGAACTTTTTTAAATAAGTGTACATGTGTGCATTGATTACTTCATAGTGAACTAAACAGCCTGTCTTAATTTTCAAAGATCAATGTGAAAATGTGGCTGAGCCTGTTGAAGAACCAAGCCATTTTTCTGATGAAGAGATTTTAGCTCAAAAAGATGATGATGATGATGATGATCTGACAGAAACAGGTGAATCAGATGATAAAGATGACACAATATCAGAAGATGAAGGTACATGCATATATGTGTAAAAACCAGTTGAAAAAATGTTTTTTTTTTACAAGCTCCAGTAATTAGCTGCTCATCCTCCTCCGGGTTTTAGGGGTTACTTCCTATAATGGCCTATTTGTGGAGGCTCTGCCAAAAGGGGTACTTTTTTGAGGCATCAGGTATATAAAAGGGTAGGGATTTCACAAGTTGAGGTATATGAGTAGGCAGGGAAATCTGTCATTTAGTAGTTCAAAAGAGCCTTTAATTAATATATTTTGAACAGACACACCTTATGGTTGTATCATTTAAATTATTAAGCACTACAATGTTCATGAAAATGACATAAAGATTTCCCTTTTTGGTGATTTATTCATAATACGGGCTGGTTATAAAAGCATGTGAAAGGGGTACCTTTTGTATACAATCAAAATGGTATACAAAAGGGGAAGGGTACCCCTCTCCCGTAGGCTTATACTTGGGATTCCTCTACCATGTATTACTGAATTTAAGGCTTGCCACAAGTTGCTCGGCAACTTTTTGGCAACTTTCGTATTTTGAGCAACTTTTTTTGTTTCGAGCAACTTTTTGCATTCTGAGCAATTCCTAGTTTTCTAGATATCAGAGCAGCTTTTACGGCTTTAATTGGCCATGCTTCCATATACGTTTCAGTAGACAATTTGTGAATTTCCTGTGAAAAAGGAGCAGCCCCTCCCCCCTGGGGCAGATCATGGGCAAAAGATTTTTGTTTTTTCTGGGCGAAAGATGTATGCAGCTGGGCTGTTAGGTCAGCAGTTTTTTAAAGAAAATCCAAAATGGCGGACGAAGATTCACACTCCACTGATTGTTTCAGGTTACGAAGGTCATTCAGATTCTTTGAGGGTAGCCGCATAAGCAGGGGCACGACTGAGTACTCCAGCGAAAATGAAAATGGTTAGAAGTCTTGACCTTGAACAGCAATGACAATTTTATTGGCTCATAATTGTTATATTGATATTGATTCTTAGTATTTACTCATACATATTGTGAACAAATTTATTCAGCGACACTGGTTTCAAAATTGCACAAAAATGCTCAGAAATTTTACTGTTGTTGTACAGATTGCATATTGTTGCATCAGACCAAATAAAAGAAGAGAGAGACAAAAAAAAACAGGTTTTGCTTTTTGTAGCAACGTTTGAGCAACTTTCGTTACAAAAAGCAACTTTTGACTCTTTTTGGAGCAACTTTTGAGCAACTTGTGGCAAGCCCTAACTGAATTCAACTAGAGACCTACACTGTACAGTACCAGATAGAAGCTATCTAAAAGGAAACGCATTTATTTACAGAAATGGTGAACATGCAGTGTGAGTTATGGATGCACGCTGGAAGTTGCCAAGCACAAAAGAAGCTTAAGAGTCACACAGGGCGATAGCTGAGTGCGACTCTATCTTCATGAGTGCTTAGCAAACCTCCCAAGTGCATCCATAACTTGATAGTTGCATGTTTGCCATTTCTTTTACAACATTGAGACTTTTAACATCTTTCCTAGCAGATGGAAGGATTTATTGAATCTCATCCTGCTTATATGAAGTCAAAAGCACGATCAACTGCGTGAAAATTTTCATAATTTCAAAAATGTGACAAAGCGACACATCAACATTTTTCTTGATCTATAGCAGTGACTTTTTCTCGATGTCGAACAAACAAAGAGCTTAAAACTGCTCAGTTAACCTAAATATCAAGCTGACAACAAACGAAAATTGCAGTCGGTAAAAGCGTTTCTCAAAAGTTAGTTAAATTTGGGTTGGTTTTCTGACAAACTGCTGCATATTTAAGGCTAAGGCTGAAATTGAACACATGAATGGTTTTTCAAAAATGATCTCTGTTACTTTTGTTATTTGGTAAAATTAAACAAGCTTAAATGAACAGAAAACTGAGGCTTAAAGACCTTAAAGGAAAATATCAGAAATGTAAGCTTTGATATTTGTGCATGTCGTTCCTTCAAGCGGCTGTTCCTTCATGAATTCAATTGATGATCGAGCAAAACTGAAACCCAGGAAATGAAATAATACACAGGCTAGGGCCCTTTAAACTTAAAGAAATAACTTTTATTACCTTTTAATTAATAGCCTCAACTAAACTCAACTAAAGACCCTTGGCCTTGGGCTGCCTCATGTCACTTGTTTTTAAGTGCAAAGAAATCATTAATTATCATTTTTTTTTTTTTACTGTTTTCTATATTTCTATTAGTACAATGGTTAAATGTTATTATTATTTTTAATCTACTATTTCTTTAGCTTTTGCAATTTTATTTTTGTAGGGCCCCACTGAAAACCACATGTATCTGAAGTGGGCTCCCTGTTGAAAGATCTTTATTATTATTATTATTATTGTTATTAATCCACTGCAAAACTGTACAAGTGTAATGCAAGCATAATGCTAGATAAAGTAAACAGAGCTTCAGAACTTTCTAGTATTTTGTATGAATAAAATTTGATCTGACTAAATCTGGCCCTGATTTGACCTTTATTGACAGTTAAGTTTTGTGATTTATACCTGTTTGCTTATTCTCAGAAAGTGTGCATAATATATATATTAGTTTTAAATCAACTCATTGTGATCTCTAGATTTGTCTGCATGACTGAAGTTGGTCACCTCATTTGAACCCTGTCATTTGTTGGAAAAATTGATAAAATCAAGAGCAATTTGGATAAACTGCGAGCTTGGAAACACAGTCTGCCACAAATGATTGAGTCTCCCAGGTCTACTTTCCAGTCCCTGTGAGAAGGGAAAAAATACAGTCCATGCAGTGTCTTGAATCTGTAAGGCATTGTTGAAACTCATCCTTCCAAAAGCAATAGCCTATTTAATTAAAAATAAACTGCCATCAATTCGATGTTTTATGTTTGTCTTTAACAGCCATAATTGATTAACCTGTGAGTTACCATAACTGCCTCTCACAGGAATCTTACATTAGGCGTGTGTAGAATCATTACACAGGAATCTCACATTGTACAGTTGCAGAAAATATCCATATTCCCGCCCCCTCCCCCCCACAGAAGGGATTGGAATTTCCTGGGGAGGGGGGGTGGAGGATTCTGAAAAACCCAAAAATTTAAAGAAGCTTGAAGCTTGAAGCTTGAAGCTTAACTGGAGGTGCGGTAGCCTCATGGTTAATGCGCTCGTCCCTGGATCAAACGGTCCTGGTTCAAGCCCTGGAAGGGGACACTGTAGTGTTCTTGGTCTAGACACTTGACTCTCACAGTGCCTCTCTCCACCCAGTAGTATAACTGGGTACCGGCGAATTGTTGGGGAAACCTAAGCAATTGAGGGGGAGTGACCTTCGATGGACTAGCATCCAGTCAAGGAGGAGTACAAATACTCCTAGCCACTTCATGCTACAGAAACCGGGATAAGGTCGGGCAGCTATGAGCCTGTCAGCTCCAAGGCTTCACACACACACACACACACACACACATATACACTTGAAGCTTAACTGGAATTTCCAGAGGGGGTCGGGGTTCTTAGGAAATCCCTTCCATGGGGGAGGTATGGATATTTTCTAGAACTAAACATTACGCATGCAAAGAATCTTTACACAGGAATGTAGCAAAGTCCCTCCACGTGTCCACATGAATCTAGCCGTGTGGACACAAAGATAAAGAAATTCTAGAGAGGGAACTGAAAGTTACCATAAATTTTGGAAAATTTAAGGTGGCTCAGAACTCCCTCAGTATAATTTTTTTTAAAACTTTGCAAAAAGTCATGCTTATATCAATTCAACAATAACAAAATGGGGGTCACCAATCTCGTTTTTGAGTTATAAGGTCTTACAGATAAAATCAGTAGTGTTTAACACAGGTTGTTCAGGGTAGTACTATTAGCATAAGTATCGTGCTTATTATTTTGTTATTACACACTTTATTTTCACGCTAGCCGTCTAAAATGAATTTCAAAATCATGTGACATACTATCTGCATATTGCAGTACAGCCATTTCATAACGGAATACAGTCATGTTAACAGAGCAATGACCACAACCAAGTGACCTTGACCCAAAATGCACTGCTGACTCACTAACGTTATACATATTATAACCATCTCCCGACTGACTAGGTGCCAATTCAGGACTGGTGAATATGGTGAACTCGCAATTAAGGACTTCTTTGTGGAACTGTAATAATTGAGGGTTTTGGTACTTGGATCAAATACAGTAATTACTATGGTAACCCAGTCAGCGGTCATCCGCATTGTAATATATAGCGTGCGGTTTGTCAGCTTGTCAGCAATCGCGTGTCAGTAGCGTTAAGAAAGACTTCTAGTTGCCTGTTTCGTCAATCTCGTAT